AAGGAAGGAAGGAAGGAAGGAAGGAAGGAAGGAAGGAAGGGAAGAAAGGAAGGAAGGGAAGAAAGGAAAGAAGGGAAATTTCTCCTCTTGTTCAACTCTGGTTTAGCCCTATGTCTGAAATGAAGCAGGATCTCCACAAATATATACTAGTTAGTCGGCCAATTCAATTTCCTAGAAGGGAGAGAGGGAGGGAGGGAGGGAAGGAAGGAAGGGAAATTTCTCCTCTTGTTCAACTCTGGTCTTAGCCCTATGTCTGAAATGAAGCAGGATCTCCACAGATATATACTAGTTAGTCGGCCAATTCAATTTCCTGTCTTTGCAATGAAGAAAAGCACAGAATCATCTTAAGCTTCTTCTCCTACCAGCTTCTTCTCCATCCTATAAAAAGCTATCTACCTACAGGATGATAGGTGGAAAGTATTAACCTTCTTTGTTTTAATCAAATATGAGACCCAACTATAGAGAAATGAGATTGGATTCCTTGCATGTCTCATAAACTGGGTATAAAAAGCAATTCCAAAACAAGAATCCCAAGAATGCTCTAAATAATGACATCACCAGAAAAAAACATGTATAGCTTCCCAAAGCCACCACCTTGAAAAGGGTAATCCTCAACAGATGAATATGTTCTTGAATGTTTGTATAAAAAAAAAAAATCCCCATGACTCTGCAGTCACACAGAGACCAAGAATGTTCCCCAGGACCCGCCCGTGCTGAGCACTGCTGAGCCCATCACATGGGACAGGAGCCTCCCTGTCATGAGAAGAAGACCCGAGAGAGATGAGGGCTGAGAGAGGGCTCCACACGTGGTAGGAGGGGTCAGATCCTTAGGCCAACACAGCCACGTGTCAGCAGGTAAAACGGGAGAAAGGTGGGGCTTGGCTGAGCCTTCGGTGAATCAAGCCTTTCAATGGGGTGGGGCATCTTGTCCAAACCCTAGCGCTAACTCAATTAAATCCCCTATAAAAGGCTCCTGCCGCTGACCTGCACTGCACACACCGCTCAGCAGCCACTTGCCTCACCCCGCCTGTGCATTAGGTAAGTGCCCTCCTGAGGAACCTCTTTCTCACTCTCAGTTCTTGGTGATCTGACCTCATAAAACCAGGGCTGTGGGCGGAAAGTGTCTGCTCTGACCGGGCCTCGAGCAAACCAGTGCACGGGGGAAAGGGCACTTTCCTCCCCGCCCTGGCCGGGCAGCAGCGCCTCTCACTGGGACACTGTGTTGGCAGCAGCAACAAGACCACCCACATGCCTTCCTGGATCAGCCAAGGTCTCTCATTCTTTTATTGTTTTTAATATCTATTTTTACTGATTTCAGAGAGGAAGGGAGAGGGAGAGACAGAAACGTCAATGATGAGAGACAATCATTGATTGGCTGCCTTCTGCACGCCCCCTACTGAGGATCGAGCGTGAGAGCCATGACCTCCTGGTTCATAGATCAATGCTCAACCACTGAGCCACACCAACCAGGGAGGTCTCTTGTTCTTAAAGTTCTGGAAGCTTCTTGGCGATGCTCAGGGTGTGTGAGACCAGAATCAGGTTATGGTACTTCTGCCAACCCAGACAATGGGGTTGAACCTTCTCAGGGAGCAAGGGGCTCTGACCCCAGGGCAATACCTAGGCAAGATGAGTTTGAGGATTTATTCTAAGGGATCTAAAGTGTAACTAAAAGGCCATGGGGTTGAACCTTCTCAGGGAGCAAGGGGCTCTGACCCAGGGCAATACCGAGGCAAGATGAGTTTGTGGATTTATTCTAAGGGATCTGAAGTGTAACTAAAAGGCCTCCTCAATATTTTTTCTGCTTATAGTCAGTGGTTGAGGTCGGCCATAGGGTTAAAAACAAAATAAAAAACAAAAAGCAGGATCTGTTCATGTCTCTGTAGAGGTGCAATGTTCTGAGTTTTGTGCTGTGATGTACACAAGAAAACAGTCTGAATTTTTGGCTGCCAGATGGTAGAAAGGACACTTCCTGAAGAGCCACCGGGTCTCCTTCCTTTTTCCCTTCCCTCTCTTGTCAGGCCCTCCTCTTCCTGCGCCCTGTCCTTTCCATCTCCACAGCGCCCCTCCCCCACCAGTCCATCTCCCCCTGCATCTGAACCCTGCCTCTCAGCACCATCTCCTCCCTGGGGCCTCCCTGAGGCTTCTGCTTCTGCACCACCAGGTCTCTTTGCCTCTTGCCCATCCAGCCACACCCAGAACCCACTTCCGCCTGAGCCCACCCCCCTGGCGGATGAGAATAAAATATCTCCCTTCAGTTGGGAACCTTTCCTCACAGGCCACCGGGGTTACGGGCTTGAAGGAGCCACATACCTCTGAGCAGGCTGACAGGTCCCATCGAGGAGGACAGAGCTCACATCCAGAGAAACCAGGACTCTCAGAACTGGCAGACTTCCACCCAGCAGAGCACCCCTCCTCCGCGGTCCCACAGGTGGTGGCCAGCCTCTTGCTGAACACCTTCCTAAAGGGCAGTAAGGAAGGGTAGAGTGGGGCCCTCAGGTTCCTGCCTGGCCCCTACCTGAGGCAGGAATTGACTCACATACGTACTTACTAGTACTGCCGGTTGGTGTTCCCAGCAGGACTCTTTCAGCCTGTGACAGGCAGAGATAGGCTGGATAGGCTGTCCAGAGGGCAGAGTCTCGAAGGTCATTGCATTTGAGTTCAGGAGACATGGGTTCTAGGATTTCTTACAAGCGGTGTGGCCTTGGGCAAATCAACTTCGCTGTCTGCTCTCTCACCTATAAAAGGTAGAGATAATAAGGATGATGTAAAGAGAGAGGAGAGAGAGAGAGAGCGAGAGAGAATGCATATGAAAGTACTTAGTGAGCAGTAGACTATATAGAGACGTATGCAAACATATGTGTATAATGATATTTAATAGGTAACATTTTGAATAAACCAGCATCTATCAAGTGCTTTAAATGAATCATCTCTCTTAATCTGCAAACTAATCCTCTAAAGTAAATACTAGTATTGCCTTCATTTCCTGGTGAGTAAACTAAGGCACTAGAGGCAAAGCAACCTGCCCTAGCTCCCCTGCCGGGTAGGTGGCAGTTGACCCAGGAGCCTGCCTCTAACCACCATGCGCCCCTGCGTCCCCTCCATAAATACGTTATGAAGGAAAGGAAGACAACCGAGACCAGAAGCAGAGCCCGAACACAGGGAAAGGGCTTAGAAGCAGGAGTGCTCCCGGGGAAACCACTGGGGTCGATTCCGGAGCCCCCGGGGCTTTTCTTCTTTCTCCAGCTTGACTACCAAGATGCCTCAATTACTGCGAAACATCAATGGCATCATCGACGCCTTCCAACGCTACGCCAGGACAGAGGGCAACTGCATGGTGCTCAGTCGGGGGGAACTGAAAAGGCTCCTGGAGCAGGAGTTTGCTGACGTCATCGTGGTATGATGGGCCCAGCCAGGTGGGGAGGGGCTCAGGAGAGAGTGAAGATGGTTTGTCTGCAGACCAGACCCTTGGCCCCAGGAATCCGAGGAGGCAGCCTCTAGATCCAAGCCCACAGGTCCTCCTGGAGGCTGTGCAGGCAGAGAAACAGGAGGGAACAAGGGACAGCCACTGGAGTGGACAGACCAGGTCCTTAGAGAAAAGACCTTGACTTCGGTTGATTCAAATTGGGAGACAAGGTGAAAGGACTGTAATGGGACAGCTCAGGGAGAAACACAGCCTTGGAATATTCTAGAAATAAAAAGAACTGCTACTTCTGCTGCTTCTTAAATCTGCTATGGTGATCATCTACTCTGTCTGGCAGAGATTTAGTCATCCATTAATAAGCATTCATGAGAAGCTCAGCTCCGTGCCTTGTACACAGCATTTGCTCAAAAACATTAGCTGAGTGCTCACATCAGCAATGGGGTTTGGGAGAGCAAACCAGACCCAGGTGCACCTCCCTGCCTCTTCCTGCCTTCGGTTCACAACTAAAGCACTGGGATGGTCAAGGCCTTGGGGACAGGGATGTGTGGGTGTATCAGGGTGCTGCATCCACCTGCTCAGGGCAATCTGTGGTGCCTGGGGACACCCAACCGCCTAAGTTGGGGAAACACCTGAGCCTCAATAAGGATCTCACAGAATTCCCCCGGAGCCAGGTTCCCACCCTGTTTCTCTTGGTGAGAATGTGGCCTCAGTGCCGGGGCCCAGGGCCTGAGGACAGCCCAGAGAATCACTCTGCATGCAATCATTTATTCATTCTTCATGAAATCTTCATTCACTTCCCCTGTGGGCCAGAAATTATGCCAGACACAGAGGATACAAAATAAAAGGTGTTTCCTACCCACGAGGGAGCGAGACAGGACTGAAAAAGGAAAGTGATTTTGTGTTCATGCTGCTATAACCCTATGGGAAGGGGGCTCGGGGCAGAGCAGGTGGGCTCTAGGTTCGGGGGTGGGGTCCTGGCAGCTGAGTGGGGAGGGCTGCTGACTTTGCCTGATCTTCTCCCCAGAAACCCCACGACCCGGCCACCGTGGATCAGGTCCTGCGCCTGCTGGATGAAGACCAGACAGGGACCGTAGAATTCAAGGAATTCCTGGTCTTGGTGTTTAAAGTCGCACAGGCCTGTTTTAAGACGTTGAGTGAGGGTCCTGAGGGAGCTTGTGGACCTCAAGAGTCTGGAAGCTTCCCCCGTGGGGCCTCTGCGGAGCTGGGAGAAGGACAGAGAAGTGTCACAGAAGTGGGAGGCGGTGGGAAAGGACAGCGTCATGAGGGGAGCAGTGGTGGCCAGGGCAGGCAGGCTTCCAGAGGGCAAGACGGGGCTGGGGCACACACCCAGGGGCCAGACATCAGCTCTTCTCAGGTCAGTCACCAGGAGGGGCAGCACGCATCCCAGAGACAGAAGAGAGAGAGCCAGCAGACACAAGTGAGGGGGCACGTGGAGCCAAACCAGAGAGTGGGAGAAGACCAGAGTCATCAGACCAGTGAGTGGGTGTCGGAGAGACAGTCACAGACTAGAGAACAGAACAGAGCCCACCAGACACGTGGGACTGTTACTGGCACCGTAACTCAGACCCAGACAGGTGCCACCCAAACCACGGAGTGGGACAGGAGCCAGATGAGCCAGGTAGCCACTAGAGGACACGATCAGATACCTACAGGGTCACACACCCAGACCGTACAGCAGGACAGGAGCCACCAGGCAGGAAGCACTAGCACCCAGCCACGGGAGTCCACCCATGGCCAGACCAGAGGAACTGAGACCCACACTCAAGACAGGAGCCAGATGAGCCAGGTAGCCACGGGAGGGCATGTTCAGACACAGACAGGGTCACACACCCAGACCACACAGCAGGACAGGAGCCACCAGGCCGGAAGCACTAGCACCCAGCCACGGGAGTCCACCCATGGCCAGACCAGAGGAACTGAGACCCACACTCAAGACAGGAGCCAGATGAGCCAGGTAGCCACGGGAGGGCATGTTCAGACACAGACAGGGTCACACACCCAGACCGCACAGCAGGACAGGAGCCAGACAGGGGCTAGAGGACAGGGACAGACCCAGACGCAGTCAGGCAGCTGTGAGGCAGAAGAGACCGTGCCAGGAGGTCAAGCCCAGGCTGGGACCAGCACCCCGACAGGCACACAGGACAGCAGCAGCACTCACCCAGGGAGCAGTGGGACAGGAGGGCAGGATGAAAGAGAGCCCCTGGTCAAGGAAGAGTGGGTTGATGACCAGACAAGGGACACAGTGATTGGAAGGCAGGACCAGGGCAGCCTGCACACCGCCCAACCGGAAGGGAAGCGAGAGCTCACAGCCAGGGGGCTGTATTCCTACTTCACAAGCAACAAGCCATGAGCGTCCCAGCCCTGGATCCCAGTGCCCAGTGCCAGAAGAAGACAGCTGGAGAGGCATTGGCTTATGCTTCCCTGGCCAGTCCGGCTGGCATGTCCCGGCCATGAGCGTCCCAGCCCTGGATCCCAGTGCCCAGTGTCAGAAGAAGACAGCTGGAGAGGCGTTGGCTTATGCTTCCTGGCCAGTCCGGCTGGCATGTCCCTGGACATCAGATCTTAATCATGGTGCCTCTCTCTTAGGTCTTTCTCAGTGAGGCCATTTCTGCAAGGTGCTTTCTCTCCTACACTCTTCTCTCTCACCTGCTTTGCTGTGCAGACCATCTCAGCAGCAGGAAGACACAGAACAAGTCATCCCTTTCACCGAATGTTCTTCAGCTTATGGAGTTTTCAGAATTACTTTTCTCTCTGCCCTCTGTCCACCACCCCACCTATCCTGGTGCATCAATAAAACCCATCTAAGGAGCTGGGCTCTGTGTCCCCTTCAATCACTATTGACGTGACAGGCAAAGGGCCATGGGGCTGTGATGATGAACTACACATGGTCCCTACCCTTGGAGAGCATCCACTTGAGAAAATATTGCACGAGATTCCAAGAGTTATAAAGAGTCAAAGAGAGGCCCTAGATGGCTTGGCTCAGTGGGTGGAGCGTCAGCCTACGGACTGAAGGGTCCCAGGTTCAATTCCAGTCAAGGGCACATGCCCGGGTTTCAGGCTCGATCCCCAGTGAGGGGCATGCAGGAGGCAGCTGATCAATGATTCTCTCTCATCATTGATGTTTCTTTCTCTCTCTCCCTCTCCCTTCCTCTCTGAAATCAATAAAAATATACATACATTTTTAAAAAGAGTCGAAGAGAGGAGATATCATACTTTTATACTTAGCAGGGATGGATCAGGAAAGGTTTCAGCTAGAAGAGGTTGTTTTTGTAATGCCCTTAAAGGACAAGTAGGAATGAGGTAGGTAAAGCTATTCTCAGTCTTTCATGACCTCTAATTCTGGAGTGTTAGCCTGCAAGGGCAGAGAGGAAGGCTGACTTCAGGTTGCCAATAAGTGGAATAAAACTGCAGGGACCGAGTAGGGGACAGGAAAGGTGTATGTTATCAGGAGCTTAGCCAGAAGCCCTGAGCTTCCCTCCGCCACCTCCTCTTCCATGCCAGCCCTAACCGGTCATGATGCCTCACCCTCTGGAATATGAAGTTATGGCGCAGAACCTTTCAACTCTGGTTTACTGTAAGAATCACCTCTGGAGTAGCTTTCAAAATTCAGATTTATTTTTGAAGGACAGAAGTATAATCCTTCTGCATCATACCCAACATATTAAAATGTGTCTACAGACCACTTAAAAATATAATGTATTGTGATATTCACTTTGTTGCAGTGGACTGGAACTGAATCCACAATGTCTGAGGTGTGCCTGCATATAGCACTGCTGCCCCTGGTGGTGGTGGAGTTACTGCAGTGAATCTTTCTGCTGGAATGGCAAGTGGTATCAGCCCAGGGAAGGCCAGTGTGGCATTGGGCAAGCAGCACCTGCAGGAAGTGGCCCTGAAATCTCAGTATCGACCCACCACAGGCTGCTCTGAGCCACAGGGCTGATAGTGGGGGGAGGAGGGGTTGCTATGTGTATGTTTGTTTTAGAGATGCCCTTCACAGAGCCACTCCTGCTAACAAATGGTCTCTCAGCATCTGGTTTGGGACAGGCCCTGCCTTGATGCTCCAATAGAGCTAGACCTCTTGCCAGGCTTTGGCTCTACTGGGCAGAGATGGCCCTATGGGTGCCCGCTGGTCTCGCCCGGCAAAGTTCCTTTCTGGAGCAGTCCCTGTGGAGAAGCAGGGAGGTAAACACCCCTTGGCTCTCCCTTCTCAAGAAAGACAGAAAACAGCAATCTGTACACCTCTCCTGGGGGTCCTGAGACCAGGCTGTGGTCCACCCTTGTCCTGGCCACTTACAAGAACACTGTGGAGTCATCTCCCAGGACTGATGCAGGTCACTCGGCTCTGTGTGAGCGTTCTCAGTGCTCCCCATTTGTACATGAGCTACAACTAGCAAATGGTGGCTCTCTTCTCCACATTGCTGGGAATTGCACTAAGTTTGGAGTGGGATACACCCTATTTTTACATATTTCCATTTAACAGGGGGAAAAAACTAAGAAAAAAGCAGCCAAATGGCTTTGATTCTATTGTCTGCCTGAGTGGTGAGGAGCTTGCAGAGCCGCAGGCCCAGTAACTATGGAGGGGTTGAGGATTAGAGTGTGGGGCCTATTGAAACAGACAAGGCTGAAAGGGGCCCCCGAATCTTACTGTAAAGTGCTGAACAGATAGCTCTCCCGCAGAAGAGGCTCCTCATTCGCAGGAGCTGGGGCAGTTTTGAGGCCCACAGCTCTGGGCAAAATGTGGAGAGTTCATTTGTTCTAGTTTATCTGGGGATTCTCTGGAAAACAGCTGACATCACAAAGATAAAATGGAGCCAACTGTAAGAGGAATGCTCGGTGGAGAGGTGTCCTTGGGCCCATACAGTAATGCACGCCTTTGGAAACCTCCACTCTCCTTTCTAGAAAAAAATAAATAAACCAGTACGGCAACCAGACAGCCAGGCGCCCCTCTGGACCCAGGTTCTGTGAGGGCTTTGCATAATCCTCTACTAAGTGGGCAGGAACTCAGTCAATGCATATTTTTAAATGTCCTAAATAAAGAAACATAAATCTTCAATAGTATCTGTAATACTATCAACAATAAAAAATATATTTTAAGTAAAGAAAAATAAATCTTTTTTATTAAGAAAATTTAGTTTCAAGTCTTTATATACTTATTATAAAGCAAACAGATGAATACAATAAACACCAATACTCTTGCCCCAAAATAACCAGTTATTTAATTCCAGACCTCTTCTATATGTAACTTATCATGTAAATATATATATGACAATGTATGTCTATGGTTACATGTGAAAATTACAGGGTGTGGCAAAAGTAGGGTTACGGTTGTTTTTATGGAAAATAATACAATAATTAGTAATAATACCGGAATAAACTGTTTCGAGTACTCACAACTGTAAAGCTACTTTTGCCCCATCTTGTATATGCAAATTATATCTATAAGTTATATATTTGCAAACATATAAATAATACTTCTATGCAAATTATATTTATGTATACATATATATAAACATTACACAAACATGTATGATTATGCAAACATGCATGGTTATGCAAACATGTATGATTATGCAAACATGTTTCCATGGGATGTTCTCAATGATTAAGAGCATCCCATGTCAGTAGCATTTGATGGTTGAGACCCAGTGTTTAGGGAGTAAGGTTGCCAAGGTTCAAACGTTAGCTGTGCACTTTACATGAGGTGTACTCTTGATCAAGGTATCTGTATTAGTTATCACACCTGAAAAGTGGAGAAAATAATGGTATTTCCTCATGGTACTTATGAGGATAGAGAAATCATATATATAAAAGTATATGTATGCCTGGCACATGGCATGATAAACATTAAAAATATGTTAAGAACAGAATGAAGCATTCTTGAAGGTCAGCCATTTATAAGCAAAGGATGTTTGAATTAGGAGGAGAGACACATGGTACTAATCAGTCAGCCCAACCTTGACCCAGTATAGAAGATTCTCAGGGGCTGGACTTTCTTCCTATGAGGATAATTGTAGCTTTTAGCAGCTGCTCTGCGCCATGGCTCAACCATGGGGATTTCCATCTCAAAGAAAACCTAAGGATTAGGACTGTCACAGTATTGTTTTAAATGTACCCACATAACACCACCCCCCTTCTCTCTCAAGCCCCCATCCTGTGTATCAGGGAAAAATCAGTGTCTTACTGGTCCATCTCTCTCCCTCTATTATTAGGCTGTTACCTAAGAAGAGGGAAGGGAGTATATCTCTAATTGGCTTATTTTCCATAAGACTCATGCAGAGGAATGGAGGGTGGGTGTGTGGTTGGGGAGGACCCAGTCATCACGTAGTGCCTCAACTATTGCATCTGACTTAGAGAGGAGCCTTTCACAAACTACAACAATGTGGGCCACCAGCAGAAAAATCAGGAGATTTTTTTGTTTTATGATATGGTCATCATACATCGTGACATACTCTTCATTTGGGTTCTTTTTTCTTCCAAGGGAAAGTCACCATCCACAGAGGCAAATTCCCATACTCAGGCTGAAAGCTACTTTATCTTTAATCCTTGTCCCAAATATAAACAATTGCTACTAATAAAAATTACTGGTATGTTACATGGTTATTTGTGTATTACTATGACTTTACTGAGCACTAATTTTGTGATGGGTGTATTATAAAATGAACCAGACCTAATCTCTTCATCAAGGAGCTCACACAAAATTAATAGATATAATGGAATATTGAAATGGCCAAAGAATCCTAGCTCAGTGTGCAAAAGCCCACACCGCTGCAGTGGGCCCCCCTAAACTACCTTAGCCATGGCATGATTCCAGGTGGCTCCATCACAGCCACCATCAAGCCTGAAAATGGCTACTGGGGCCTCATTCTCTGATGCAGAGAGAGATGTGTTTGTAATGCAACTACTCACCATAGCTACAACCTCTCCCTCCCAAAGCACCCTCTGCCCTTTCATCTGGGATCTTTTCTACTGCCTATCACTTACAACAAACACGTAGCTGCCCTTATAATGGGGAGGACTAAAATCCATTCAATTTTCCATGATACACCAGCTGGGAACTCATTGCTCTAATTACCATCTATTTTGTGATAATATCAGTAGCCATGCCTATTGTTGAAGTGTTTGTTTGTTCTATGAGTGGATGTTGTAAAATTTAATTATACTGCCTTACCTACAATCAATGAGAGATTAAGTCACACCTTAACCTAACACAGGGCCTTATTTATCCCAAATTAAGCAGCAATGCCACAATCTGAGGTAAACCACAGGTTTATGGTTTTCCACCCATGACCTGTTTTCTCTCACTTAACAGGGCTGGTCTTCTGCTTCCTCTCTAGAGTTTTGCCATCAGATTAAGCTGCTGACTTCTCCGCTCCCCCGCCCCCATCCTTATATAAACACCTCATCTGGGTGGATGTGGGGCCTGTAGTGGCTCTGT